AAAGTTCCGATTCCGGAGTCATTTTAGAGCTATGATCACACAATATTCCAGATAGAGGCTCCATACGATCAGATATCTACCATATCCATGTGCAGAGATAGTGGAAAAGACCACCGTGAAATATAGCAGACTGCTCTTTCTCGCAAGGAAAACTCGCAAGGAATACCGATGCCAAGCTTACAAACGTCTCATTCCCTCATTTCATTCCGCCTGTAGAGAAAGCAGTGTGCTGACAGCGGCCAGCGGGGCGTCCGGCCCACTAGCAGGCAGCGCCCCACCCACGCTCCAGTATTGAGGCCACCCTGTTCAGGGCGCCAGTTGACCCGGGACCCCGGTGACCCAGTAACTCCCCTGACCTTTGACCCGACACGCGCCGGGTGTGAACGAGGAAACCCAACAAGACCGCGGCGCGGTTCGCGATTCATCTGCCAGGGAAGTCTGTTGGGCTAATGAGCTGCGCAGCGAGCAACTCTGCATATATTTTCTGGGTAGGTGTGAAAGGTGAATACAATCTTTTCTGGAATTAAACTATTCCGATGCAATGTGAACCAGCATGCAAAGCACCTGCTGTTTTCTCCCAATCTACTTTTAAACTACCAAAGTTGGCCTAGGCCTCAGGGAGAAACATTCATCCTCGCTTGAGAGTTGGGCAAGTAAAGGGGAAATCCGATTCACTATAGCAGTGCCCCAGCCAGTGAAGCGGTTTGGTTTCGCCCGCCCTCGAAGCCTATAGATTTGATCTGACTACGAGGCTGGCCATTGGTAGACACAATAACGTTGACTCCTCAGACGATAGTAAGACTACTAATGATGTGTGCACTGTGCACCATGAGCTAGGGAGGCCCACTGAGGTTGTTTTACAAGCCACACGGCACGCCGCCGCCCCGCCGCCGACCAGCTCCCTGGGTTTCCGGGAAGACGGGGACTGGAGGAATTTCCTCGCCGTCAAGACCGAGTGGGTATGACCGTGACGCAGGGGACGCCAGGTCTCCACGTCACCGACCGGGGCCCCTGAGCACACTGAGGCGAGCCAAGAGTCACCTTCGCACGGATAAGCATCGACCGTGCTTCGCTTTTTCCACATTCTTATCAGATTCAACACGTTTGCCTCAGACTATTTGATCGTGCGCTGATAACTAAAATGAACTGATAAAAAGAAGGCAGTCGTCACTGTAGAGATTGAAGACTCGTACGGTTTCCGTCAAGCGGTCATTACTATGAGTGACGATGCAATTAACACCCTGTTATGATGTTACAAATGGTGCGGTCACAGGAAAGTGCCAAATGACGCAAGCGCAGCCACCGTTCTCATCAGCTAGGGGCGTAACCACGATTCTGAAGTCACCATAAGTTGTACCACGAGGCCAGTCGAGAGAGGCAAGGAATCGGCAGGGGAAGGGGAGAGAAACGGAATGAATAGTGGTTAAACATTTATTCTTCATCCATACGTTTCGTCCTATTTTGTGAAGAATTGGTTAGAACATAGCTTTCAAGTCAAGGCAAAGCATGCATTAGCGATTACATTGCTACTGTTCTCGGGCCTATAGGAGCTGGGAACCTCAGGGCAAAACTGATCGTATCTGTTATCTCGATCTGCCGGTGCAAACAGGGCGCAATAGGTAAGCATACACTAGGCATTAGGCTAGCTATCACAGCTTGACGACGGCCAGGGTCCGATTCACTTCCAGGTTCCCGACTTCAAGCAAACTCTACTAAGAACGTTCCCTGGGGACCCGAAAGTAACTGGGGACCGCTCTTCAACGACCCCGTGTTTGTTATCTCGACTTTTGAGGCACCCTACCCGACGGAATCGTGGTCCAGCCACAGCCCACAGTCGCACCCGCCCCGCCGACTCACTCATTGCCACCTCCTCCCAGAACTTGCGCAGCCTCTTGGTGAGCTCCTTGCTCGTCTCGGGCCTCGTCTCGGCCATGGCTTCCAGTCTCAGTCGCCTCTCGTCACACTCCAGCACTCGGGCACAGCCGGCGATAAACTGCCGGCCGGTTATCTAGGTCGGCTGACCTTCGCCTCCCCCGCCACCGGTGCAGACGCCAGAGCCGTCTGGTGGCCGACCGGCGCCACGTTGCACCGCAACGGACCGACTGACCACTCGAGTGACCACTGACCGTGCACCGCGAGACGAGGGCAAATACAATAACAATGTATTAGGTAGCACGGATGCCTATCGACTTCCATCATTTGGTTCATATTCGTAATAATGCCACACCTTACTGAACCGAGCTCAAAACCCCGTTTTTTTTTTACTCTTTCGGTCGATAAAATAACCCTTAAATAACCCTAAGGTCGCTACGCATAATTTCGCCACATTAAAACTGCCCAAACCGTTCCTGATAATGATAACCATGTTCTTACATTTGCAACCCGAGGAACCTGCACTCAACGATCCCAGGAGTAAGAAAAACGACACAAAGGGGAAAAGGTAGCGCAAAAAGTGGGCAGGCCACGGGTCCACGGAACTATAGGTATTCGGTTCGGCTCTGATGAGCGGCTTTCACTCGCCCGGAGCCATCACGTCAGCTGCCACGCACCGGTGGAGACGAGGCAGAAACGCCGCAGTCGCTACCGGGACGGACGGGGTGATGACATAGGTCGGGAAACGGACGAACTAGGGACGGATGGGACGGACGGGTGGCGACAAGGGACGGGACGGGACGGGACGGACGGGTGGCGACAAGGGACGAGATAGAACAGACGAGACGCGATGGACGGAAAGACGGGAAACGAACGGGAAAAGAATGGACAGATGGTACGGGACAAATGGACAACGGAAGGAATTCAGTGAATGGAGGGGCGATGCCCGACGCGTTAGACAGAACGGACATAGCCACGAGGAGTCATGGAGAAGGCCAGTGTGCACTGTGCACAAACCTTCCTCAGAGACTGTCTTCTATGGAAACTCAAGAGCCAGTCTGGAATAATTGGTAAGGGTAGTAATAACTCTGCGTCCGACTTCTGAAAGTCTCGACTCTAAACTCACCTCGGATGGTGTCACTCGAAGGAGTCGTGCCCGCCATGGTGTTATTGTTGTTGTTGGAAGTGACGGCCGGTGTCTGGGGCCGCGACGAGCCTGGCTGGAGGCAGCTGGGTACCGACCCCAGCTTAGTGGCCTAGAGTTCACCTGAGGACACGAGACACAGACGTCAGCGCAGTCATGCGGCTCGCTTGTGAAAAAATCAGCAAGTATGCATAGCGATTTTTTTCAATACAAGACCGGTTCGGACTAACAAGCACATTCTACAAGCCCTAGTTTGTCGCTCAGGGGAACAAACAGCCAGGGAACCCACTACCCAGCACCTGTTGTTCAAAGGCTCTTCCAAGGATCCACCTTCACCGTGTGGCGCCACACACCACAGTCACGCACTTACGCACCAAACAACACACGTTCGATCTACACGCAACACCGCGGCTACGGGCTGCCGCGTCACGGTACACCGGTGGCCGACCACCGACTGCGGTGGGCCGACGCACGCGTAACTCTCGCCACGCGGCTGGCTGCAGCTCGGCCTCACGCACGGAGAGACGGACTGGCACGGAAATCGAGACGGTTGTACGGATGGACGGACGGATGGACGGACGGATGTACGGACGGACGGACGGATGTACGGACGGACGGACGGATGTACGGACGGACGGACGGCAGTATTCACGGAGACGATTGCACGGACCGACTGACGGTTTTATTAACGGTTGTAACAAGAGAACGATGGTTGCACAGACGGACAATTGACAACGGACACACATCCATGTAGGAAGACAGACGGTTGAACGGACGAACAGACGAATGGTCGCAAACACAGACTGTGACAAACACAGACTGACTACAACAAAAACTGGCAGTCGCTAAAACACACAAACAGTGCAGGCGGTGGATGTGTAGCGAGCGTTACTGGGCTTTGCGCGTTACCACCACCACAGCACCGCCGGGTCGTGGGAGGCGTCGCACTGTACCCACCGTGACGAGCACCGTCGCGTCACGCCACGAACTGGCGTCACGCTAAGGAGTGACGTCATCGACACACGTGACGCCATCGCTTTGGCCCGTTACAACAGCTCCACTTCAGCCTCCGCTCCATGCACTTATATGTCGGGATGAACGAGAGAAAGTATAACATCATGAGCATGGGCCCTGCAAATGCAGGCTCTGATCTAACGGTGCATCTGATGCAGGTTAATGCATTAGTAGATACGATTACGGCCCCTAGCTGACACGAGTCACAATCACGACTCTCGTGAATACATCGATATACCATACCGTGGCCACCTTCACCAATCAAGCTGACATCGATGAATCCACTGGCACACATACCTTATGTCTCCTAAGATCCCGTTCAGCGTGCACCGCTCCCTCCGCCCTCCCCCTGCGCTGTCCCGACTGACACTGTCCGGCGGTGTTTGGCCGCCTCGGTCCAGGTCCCCGGCCCTGAGCGTGGTCACGGATCGATTCGGAGCACCGGGCTGCCCCCAACCGCGGCCGGCCAGCGGGGAACGCAGTCGTGGGGGCAACGAAATACATCGATGATCGGTCGAACCGGTGCATATGCACCACGACGCAGCGGGGCCAAAACGGACTGGTTATATTTGAACCTACGAGGATGAAAGCTTGGTTCGCAGACACGGTCTTCAAAATCGGGTAATATCTACTGACAGATGGTACTCTATTTTTGGCAGGCATTCCCACCAGCCACCTTGTGTGTAGTGGTCGAAAATTGGATAATTTGCCGCCAGTAATTCATAAGTATCCAGGGTTTCAAACAGACGAAGAACAGGCTGAATGTTTCTTGAGCTCAATGTCGGAAACGTGTTTCAGGGATGTTTCAAAGCAAAGCTGAAGTACATCGATGATAATGGACCACCTCGGTGTTCAGAGACAGATCAAACAACACTTTGATATTTACAAATGAAGCTGGCACCACAGGTGATCAGGAAAAGCGACGATATTAAATTATACAATGATAGGAACTTACTTAGAAACAAAAGAGTCACAGTTCTGTGCATTTATTATATCTGCATTGACCATTGTAAAACAACTAGTGACAACAAATAAGCTTATAATCAATGCTAGCCTACTATTGGCAAACATAAAGCATGGCACTGTTAAGTCAGGAGCCATTACTAAGGCAAATAAGTAATGAACTTCCGCACACAACTGACTTTAGAAACCAAGAATAAGCGTAGTTTGCTTTGCATGAAAACAATCAAATACCAACGCTTTAGATAATGCAGGTCAAAGATGCAGTACTCACATATAGTATCACAGGTGAGAAACTCAACACACCAAATGTGTTATAGCATTGCCAGTCCAAACACAAGGACATCACCACGTCAAATTAAAAATTGAATATGCAATGCAGCAATTTCGAGTTAAAGTGGACAACGTTACGACGTACGCATGCGTATGACATAATTTTCTGCAAATGAACGACAAAAATGTGCTCTTCTGGCCGCTATGCTCCGCGCAAAACTCACATGCATACATATAAACATAGACCTATTTCAACACACGCAACCGCATTGACATTTGACACATACCGACACATAACACACACAAAACGGAAGCTCACAGCCTTTCATGTGAAGATCTTCCCTCGAAGCTGTTCTTTCTCCTCAGCGAGTTTCTCCTTCTCTCTGGCTGCCAGTGCGGCCAGTTCGCGGCGCACCGCCGCCGCCACGCTCGGGTCGAGCTCTGCCGCCCGGTTCAGGTCGGCACGTGCAGCCTCAGTCTCCCAGACCCGTGCACGCGCACGGCCCCGCCGGAACAGCGCCTTAACGTCGTCAGGTCGCGCCTCCAACACTGTGGAGCAGTGCTCGATGGCTGCGTAGTAGTCATCCTCCAGCAGCTTGCACTGGGCGAAGTTGAGGAGCAGCGGCAGCTTCAGCTCGTTGAGTTTGTTCCACTCCACGTCCTGCGGCTTCTCTCGTAACATCAGCGACTCGAGACGGCCCAGCGCGTCGGCGTACTTCTCAGCGGCCGCCTCGTGTTTGCCGTCACGGTAGAGGGCGTTGCCGCGCTCGCGCAGCTCGGTAACAGAGGCCAGCTTCTCCTGCTCGTTGAGGGCCCACGACTCGCGCTCGTAGTCGCTCTTGGCCTCTGCGGAGAGCAGCTCGATGACGATGCGCAGGTTCTGTGGCCGCTGGAGCAGGCCGTCTAGGTCCGGGTAGCCGATCTGCGGCTGCTGGGCGGCCATCATCATCCCGCAGCAGCCGGAGGCGGTCGGCGGCGGCTTGTGCGCCGGGTCCCACGCGGCGCGCAGCGTCTTGGCCACGATCGGGTAGGCGTGCAGCAGCGCCTTGTCGATGGTGAACTCCGCTACCTCCCCCAGCAGCATCGTCTTCACGCACGCCTCGAGCACCTCGAGTTTGAACTGCTTCCCCAGTATCAGCTCCATGGGCTTGTATTTGCGCGAATCGTCGAGTAAGACCGGCTCCTCATCTGTCGTCTCCGATCGGAAGTGAAACTTGACCCGGTCTCCGTCGGCGAATGGTGACAGGGAGCCCCGGCCGGCATGCAGCACACGCTTTTTCACGCGTTGGTCCATCGTTAAACCTGAGGGCAGAGTTGGAATAGGTACTACTCATCCCTTCTTGTTGATACCTACCATGCAGTTCTGTTTGTAAACAAAGTAATTGACATATCTTTGTCAAAAAGTTAGCACTTTTATGATTAGTTAGGGCATTCATCCCCTGTGAAGAGGATGGTAGGTACTATTCCAACTCTCCACCTCAAGTAAGTCTAAGGTAGATGTTTAACTGCTCAAGGGGAATAGTTCACTTTTCTAAAAATTAGTTCTTTGCAATGGATTTATAATTTTTATGTTCAAAAGGATCAGAAAAATAAAATAAAACCTGTTAATAAAAAAATGTATTTTAATATGGGAAGAACTAACCCCGCGTTCGATGTCTCCCGCCCCCGGACGGCGAAGATTCTACGCCGTCCGGCCAATCACGTTCCATAACCGCTGCCGAGCCCCCGCTGACCTTGGACGGGATTGGCCGGACGACGTAGAATCTTCGTCGTCCGAGAGACATCAAACGCGGGGTATATTCTATATAAAGTCATACCCCGCGTTCGATGTCTCTCGGACGGCAAAGATTCTACGTCGTCCGGCCAATCACGTTCCATAGCCGCAGCCGAGCCCCCGCTGACCTTGAACGGGATTGGCCGGACGGCGTAGAATCTTTGCCGTCCGAGAGACATCGAGCGCTGGGATAATTCGACGCGGAAGCGCGTCTTGGCTGTAAGCAGCATGCTGATTGGCTGACGATGACGTGGCTGCATTCCTCAGCAAGGCACGCATTCCTCTGCAAGGCACTCTTTGCGGAACAAGAAATGGAATATCTTCGTCTAGGGTGATCCTTGGGCCGTAAAAGCTCCTGATTTGTGCTAGTTTCAGCTCAAGATTCGAGACTGCTGTTCCAGTTCAAAACCGGAAACACCATGTTAAAAGTGAACTATTTCCTTTAATATGCTTATTAGTATAAGTCAAAGCATATTTGCTTAAGTCAAAGATCTGAGAAAAAGCATCTGAAAAATGCATATATGGGAAGCATAAGTTGAGTGTTTTGGCAGGGCATGGAACTGACAGATTCATATCAATTATTTTCATCCTCTACAGCATCAAAAGTAATTGAGAGCTGATGACCAAAGAAAATAAATTCTACTTTCCAGAGCAAAACAGAGCAAACTGAAGCTGAGTATCAGAGCAAATACTTCAGTGCCTTCACCAAGAATAGCAGAATCAGAATGAACTACTGCCTAAACTACTGCCAGAACTACTGCCTAAGAAAGCAAAATATGAAGTTTGGGGCAGGCAAATAATGACCAGGCTATTCCCATGATGCAGACCCTCTAAAAAAATAAAAAAATAATATAACAGGGAAATCTAATTAAAGATTTAAAAAACCTTAAAGTTTAATTTTTCATGGTACACCACATGCCTTGTGCTGCCATGATGATGAGCACCCTGCATGTTGGGTCTTTCAGTTGGGTCTGATATACTGATATGTTCAATAATAGTCTAATTTTATGCACATTATAATATATTCTCTGGGCCTGGGGAGTTACTAATATGCCCTTCCTTTATGCACACAAACATTAAAGGGAATATACCTAGTACCTACCTACCAGGCTACCAAGTACCACTTTCTTCAAATCAGTTTTTTAACAGTTTTACAAGTTGTTATGCATAAAATTATAAAGGAATTTTCAAATTATTTTGATAAGTTAGAACTATAGGTAATAGTAGAGCAAATGTCACACAAAGGTTTTCCAACCAAGGAGAGGCGCTATACCTGGAGATGCTTCCTCCTAACCAAACCAAAACAAACCTCCCTAACATGACCAAACCTACAACCTACAAACCTACAACCTACATCTACAAACCTACAGCGCCTCTCCTTGGTTGGAAAACCTTTGTGTAACGTCTGCTCTACTATGTTGAACTATAGGTAGGTACTCCATCAGTATTAATATAGAGGCTTAATATTGCTTGCAGTGGCTGAAGCCTATTTCACATTGACCAATCATACTCTCGATCAAATATGGTGATGAAATTGACCAATAACATGGCAGCGAGATGCATTTTTATATAACAAAATAAGGCCGAAAATATAGAACTATATTCGGCCTTATCCGGTTCTATATTTTTGGCCCTATTTTGTTATATAAAAATACATCTCACTGTCATGTTATTGGTCAATTTCATTACCACATTTAATTATTTGATCATGGTAAAACCGACCATTCAATACATCAATACTCTGGGTCGGTTGGTATTGGACTCTGGACAGAGTCCAATACCAACTGCATGATGATTGGCTGATGCTGGCCTCTGCAACAGGTGGCTGTATTCTTGGCATCCTTCGCTACGGCACTAATTTCCTGTGTGTGGCAGATTTCGGAACAAGAAATAATCTATCTATGCCCAGGGGCAGGGCAGGGTAATCGTTGGGCAATAAAAGCTCCTGATTTGTACTAGTCTCAGCCCAAGCTTACAAAACATTTATTCTAGTTCCAAACCCATGTTACAAGTGGTATATTTCCTTTGAAACGAGATGCTGGGGAGGCATCACGTCAATGTCGATGTCAAGGTCATATGGTCAAAAGGAAGCGGGCAAGGTAAGCGCGGTGAAATTCTGCTTCAAGGTTCATTGCTCCTGAAGTCAAACTTCTCCATTGAACGTTGTTTTCACTGACAAATCACATAAAATTAAAGATAAATGAATGACATAGGTAGTAGGTACTGAGAAAATAAATTTATTCCTACCTGCCCCCACTTTTCAGTTTCCGGCCCGCGCTTGGCCCGCGCCAGAAATGTACAGATTAATCAAGGATGACAAAATGCAGTAAGATCCAGGCTTGGGAACAAAAAAATGTATTTCTGACGTCACTAAAAAGGAAAAAGAGGAAAGGGGATGTTTTCTAGTGCCAGAAAGTGATTCAACAGCCAATACTGCGAATTTTCTCAAAATATATCTAAAGATGTTTATTTTATTCATCTTTGTTCATAATAACAGTTGAAAAGCAACAAAAACTGCTAGCAAACTCGCAGGCCTTCGCACATGCTAAGAACATTGAAAATAGTAAAAAAAGCCCAGAATGTACGCACTTTTTCATAACACTTGTACAAAATTTTATTTCTAGCCCTCCTAAAAAAACAATTTTTGTCGTCAATCAGCTTAAGATTTAGATATTCTTATTTTTTTATTTTTTTGGCGTCACAAGCCATCGACATTCAACTACTTTCACTCTTACTTTCAACCTTGAGGCAGTTGGATTGCGGCAAAACCGGCGCGGTAAGTTGTAGAGTTAACGTTACTGTAAAAAATTTCTGTGGTATTTTTTTTCAGGATTTTTGCTGTATTTGGTTTTGAAGTGTGACCATGACCTTCCCAGTTACTTATTATGACATTTGTATTTCTTATCATGTCCCTATTGTAGCTGTAATAGTGGAGTCTATGTACGTTCAATGTTCATTCATACCAATTCAATACGTATCCTTTACCTGATTCCCTCCCTGGCTAATAATTTATTGTCTTTTCTGTTGTTTTGTTATTTTTTAGGACTGCCAAATACTGAATATTTGTTTTCAGTATTTGCTGGAATGCATGGGTGTCAATTTACGCCAAGTTCGGGCCTGGGGGTGCCCTGCCCGGGTGTAGCAAATCCGCCGCCGCCCTAGCTGTGACCTTGACCCGCACCGTTTGTTGGGGCTCCAAAGCTAAGCTGGCTGGTCTGGCGGGAATTTGGAGAGCTTGGGCACCCCCAACCCGACAGTAATTAACGCCCATGCTGGAATATTTAATGCATCCCACTTATTTTAACAGATGCAATTGGCAATGATGGCAGCTGACTCATCAACAGATAAGGTGTCTGTGGCCAACATTATCATTGATATGTGGGACCTTGTGAACCAAATTCTTGAACAACAGACTCTGCTTGAAAACTGGATGAAAGGGGGCTTCATGAACATTGCCAAAGCAAGGTAGGCAATTTGAGGCATTGAGTATTGCTGATGTGCTGCCTCAGTGATAGTGTCAGGGAGAATTTGCATCAGTATTCTTCTCTTTTATAATAATAATAATAATAACATTTATTTCGCACCAGGTCGGTACATATACAACATGACAAATTCAGTCAACATGATAATGTCACCAACATACACATCAACATACACTCTGCACACATCACACCCATGCACAAGAGACAATCTTGGCAGTTTGACATCAGCGAATTCAGACCTGCATGAGACGGGCTTGTACCACTCTTTCTAGATGGGCACTATGGGGATGGGGACCAGATGGGGACTAGATGGGGACCAGGCGCCCATCTTTTGACATAATCTATGGAATTTCACCAAAGGGAATGTCCTAAAACATCACTCTGGCTTGAATCATGTAAGTGTTAAGAATAAATGTAGTAATTATTTAATATTTATTTAAGAACTTCTGTTGACATACTTTTTAACATAGTTTTTTTGCTGTTTTCTGATTTATTGACAAAAATCTGAATTGGTCATTGTTATTTTCGTTTTTAGGCAGCAGTATTTTTCATAACAAAATGTGAAATTTGGCACACTTTGAAACAAGAGAATAGAAGTTAAAATGAAATAAATCACTGTGGAATGGTGATTTGATTAGCTAATAATTCTCATCTACACAATCATGAATCGATGTTTTCACTTTTTTAACTAACTTAATAGGGCCATGGGAAGAATTGAAGAGTAATCTTGCATGGGAGTTGTGATTTATGTACCCCTAGTACAGCTGGCAAATGTGTATGGCACAAGCTGCCTGCTGACAGCAATATGTGCGCATTAGGTACGTGATGGGCCAGCACTCTGTGGGCGAGAACCAGCTGCCGTCTGGTGATCGTGAGATCAGCGCCGGCCTGCTGGTGACCCGCGACCAGGCGCCTCCGCACGCCGCCGAGCCGGCCGCGTTCACCCTCTCGCCGCAGTCGAGCGACACCGAGCCGCTGCGCTGGTTCTCGGCGCTGCCGCCAGGGGCGCTGCGCGACGCCCAGCGGCAGTTCCGCCGAGCCGCCGAGATCAGCTGCGAGGTCGCCTCGCTGAAGAGTCGGCTGCAGACGATGATGGCGAGGCTGAGTGATGCCAGGAAGGAGTCTGAGGTGGAGGGTACGGACACTGAACTGAAAACGGCCCAACTGACGGAGGCCGTGGAAGCGCTTGCAGTAAAGTGAATGCGAGGTAAAATTATCACTTTAGAAATTAGAGTTCATAACAAGAGTGTAAGCCTGTGTTGTGTGTGAACGATAGTTAGGGTCATATCATGTATAGCTTGTATGCTTTTGTATCTTGTGTGTCGTGAGTCAGGCCATAGAGTAAAATATTTAGATTAATCATATTGAACACTGTCGCGCAGTCCCCTGTTTGATCGGATTTGGTCTCTGCACATTCCGATACTAGTTACCGTGCTGTGTTTCGTGGTGTCTGTTATTAACGATCAAATGAAACTATTCAATTGAACATGTGTCGAAATACATTGTTATGCCCTCAATGTGATCCAGTAAACTGCCGTAAAAAACGCCGCCTGATTGTGGCACGACCTGGAATGAAACTAATCAGTGGACGCAATGTCAAAAATCGACTCGGTATTCCTGAAAATAGACACATACCCAGTTCAGTGTGCTGTGCTACAGGTACAGTGCCACAACTGTGCAGTGTGCGTAACAAAAATTTTAATTTTGGTCTTCAGCTGTATGTACTGCAGTTCTTCCGAGTCTCCGGCCGCTCCGGACGACCGCTCAGCGCCACCTCGAGGCCGGTCGGCCGAAACTCAAGTGATGGTTACAGAGTGGGGTCGCCACTGTCCACTGGGAGTCACCGACGGTCACCGATTTATCGACGGCCGGCCTCGGGGGCAAGGTTTTAAATGTATTTACGAATTGTTTGGCGTGAGTTCCACAAATGCCTTTGGAACATGCGCTGCGCATATTTTGGTGAAAACGTGTCATATTCTCGTCAGTATCATTGGAGTAATGAGAATAACTGTACATCCGTATGAGAGAATTAGCTCATGTCATTTATTGGAGATAATTTATAGCTGTCATTAATACAAAATACATGTCATTTATTATTGGATTCACAAACAGGAAATAGGGGTATGAGTTTCACTCAGGGTCACACAGACAGGCAGCAACTCACTCCCAACATCAAACCGCAATTCGCTTTGTTCCCTTGCAAATGTCTCTACTGAATACACTGAGGCCCATCCATTTTCTCACCTACCCCCGTCATCCCGTGTTACACGGTGCATTTATAATCAGCTCAGCTCCCCACCGTAGCCCGAGGGATCGGCTGACGACGCTGGGTGTGCCCTTGCCACCCCTCCCCCTCCCCTAGGCGTCACCCGTCCGACGGCTGGGTCTCCCCTCTCCCCTGCCGGCCTCCGTTCCCATGCTCCCCACCATTACACCTTGCCCCGAGGCTACCGGCAGTACCTTTATGTTCCGTATCTAACATAGACCGTACTTCGCCCCGTCAGCGGCGTCCCGATTGGCCGCCGCCCGGCAGCTGCTCTGTGTCTCGCGCTCTCATTGGTGGACGCGTCATGCCCGGTGGGCAGCGGCGAACTGACAGGCGCTCCCTTCCGCCGCACAGATTCGCCTGTTTGCGCGAAGAGGTGCCGTACAGTGGAGAACTACGCTGCCCGCACAGTGGAAAAGGAAGTCGCGTGCGTGGCTGAACTGACCGGCTATCGGTTATTGTCCGTGGAAGAGCGTTGATAACCGGAGTGTGGACGCGGAGACGCCGACTGTGCGACGCTGCTCACTCCATCCGCGTGCCGGGCCGAGCCGGCGTGCCGCTCGCTGCCGCCTCAGGTCAGTGACTTCAGCGACCGATTCGCTCCCCTCTGTCGCGTTCGGTTGGCCTGACGTTGTGCAGAGTTCGTGAGCTGTGTTGTGGGGACTGTGCCTTATGAATATCACGTACCAGTGTATGTATGTGGATGTGCTTTGTGCGTGGCTGGCCTCGTTACAAGTCTGTGCGCAGGCGAACACCGTTAGACTGTCCTCGTGCTCCGAGGTACCGTTGTGCTCAGGAGATGGAAGTGGTCTGTGTCTCACGCTGGCACAAGCTGGGGGCTGTTTTTATCAACTTCAGTATAGCTACAGTACAGTTCAAAATGTACAGGAGCGTAGCCAGAGTGGTACTCTGGTACTTTCAAACTTACAACTTGATTCGATAGGTTTCAGTGTCTTAGGCTTCGTTTAGAAATTAGCTACATCGATCATCTTGGAAGCTAAGAGATAAAAAAACGCCTTGAAAAACGCAGTGAAAGTGGTCGCGACCATACGAATTACGAATGCTTCTTTTCTTGCTTCTGAAAGTATTGCGTTTTGACTGAGGCCAATGGTGAGGTCATTAAAGGTCATCAGAGGTCAAAATTTCCGATTTAACAACTGGTACTGACAATGTTCCACTACCCCTCAGCTCGTCAATTCATGAAAGAAATCCATATTTCATTTAGAGTCATTTTTGTGATAGAATGACAGCTTAGTCTACAGGCTACAGACTAGAGGTCAGTAAAAGTAAATAGTAAAAAAATGCAGATTGCTTTTTTCAAGGGCGTTTGTATTGAAGCCATAAGTACAGTTTGATTACCAGTGCTTTTTTTCAACAAAACACCTCGAATGTCATGCTTACACTATGGCCCGAAAGTTTCCAATAAAAAATTATCAGAGGTTATCGACAAAATGATGTATGACATCAAATGACCTCGATTGACATTTCAAGTGACCAATGACCATCTGCTGCACCCCGGCTATTACAGCAAGGTGATGCACTGCAATGCAATGAACTGCTTTGGAAAGTGGGATCATAAATCAAACCTGTTCTTAGGTCACAGAGAGGTAGGACTGCTAACTTGACCCGGTGACCTGATCGTATTTGACCTGGGGTCAACACTTCACTACGACAATGAAATTGATGTTGTATTGCGTCAGATTTTTTCAGTTTCGCGGTGGTAGGCTTTCGCGAAGGTAGGCTGGAAAGAAACATGCTTTATCGGAAGATGGGACTTTCTTAATGTTCTAAAAGCAACAAATCTTAATGTTCTTAATGTTAATGTTCTTTCTAATGTTCTAAGGCAACAGTGACTCTGAACGTTGTACTTTTTTGCGATGCTTTCGAGGAGATATTGGATTTCACGTCGGAGCATTTTTGTCTGGCGAGCCCCTTTTTTTCCTGGACTCGCTCATCGCGGACACAGGCAGGTCGCGTCTCGCGTTTCCAAACAGTACTGACCCGGTGGCCTGGATGGCCGCTGGCGAGTCGCGCCAGAGTCGCTGAGTCAGTCTAGCCACCGACTGGGCTGTCAAATAGTGTAGTGTCAGCGGATAGCCAGCAGGCCTCTCTTCCAGACACTGGCGGGCATGTGGGCAGACGGAGCTGCGTTCGGGGAATGATAAGGTCAGAGCTCCGATCAACGGACGGAACACATCTAGGCGGACGAACGGACGGAAGGAAGGCATTTGGACGGACGAACGGAACCCATGTGGACGGATGGACGGACTGACTGTATGTTCCGTCCTTCGAGACGTGGGCATTGCGGAATTCTCATCGGCTGCGAGAAAGAGCTCTACCAAGAAAAGGGGGCCGACGCTTGTGCCGCTCGACGGTCATTTGATTAACCGTACCAATACGACGGGTGCTGAAGAAGTAGGTTTGATAAAAATGTATTATAATAATGTACTGGATGTCCACCTTACAATTGTTAACCCTCGCCCGCACATGCCATTTTCCCATCCTAGAACGCACATGGGGGGGGGGGTGGTTGCCACCCCCCCGCGCCATTTCGTTCCTGTTGGAGATAGAGCTTAGCGGTAAAGACCAAAAAGATTCTTTGGGAAGAGACGAATCCAATGATACCCAGTTTTACCTTCTCAGGTCAGTCATTGACCTTCCAGGTCAGGTCAAACTAAAAAATGTTGCTGTTTTGGGTCACCGTTGGATGTCAAGTGCGCTGCTTATCAAATACCGATGACGATGCTGTTTTCTGGTGCCAAGCCAGCTAGAACCTCTTTGTCACACTATCCGACCAGAATTTTGCTGCTGAGGTCATTTCAGGTCAAGTTAGGTCAAGGTCAATTATATGTGTTTGTATGTCTGTGTGTGTCTGTGTGTATACTGATGTTTGCACCGATTGTTTATGTGTCCATATTACATGAAATCCTGATCTGAGAAGCTTTTACCAAAAATGCAGTCAAAAAACTTCACAAAAAGTAAATTCAGCTTGCCTAAAACGCAATTATCTTAGATGACCTAGGTTGACCTTGACCTTGACCTTGACATCTGTACATCGTCGAACAACATGTTCCATGATAGGTGGGAGGTAAGACTGGCAAAAAAGACCGAAATCAAGGTGTCAAAAGCTCACAAGGCCCATAGCCAACGCAAGATGTCGAGAATTGGCCATTTGGGTCATGACATGACCTGAAAAACAAGGTCATATCTCCGAAACCAAAAGTCACAGAAACTTGAAATTTTCAGTGGACATCAAGAAAGGATAGAGGAGCAGCTATACGAAAAATCAGCCTTCTAGCTCTAAAAATGTTGAGTGCAGAGCAGAAAGACTACCTGGGGGGGGTGGCAACCACCCCCCCCCATGTGCGGGCGAGGGTTAATTATCAAAGTCCGGATATGCAGTCTGACAACATGTCCTGTCAGTGACAGGACAGCTTAAAGACTTGAACGAGCTCAAAAACTCGCCTTGGTCACATTACCAGCCACAGTAAAAAGTGTGCCGAGATGTCCTAACGAATAACCGGCGTTTTGTGTGCCGCTTCGACATGGGCCTGTCATCGCAGGCCACGTATTGGTGTTTATTTGGCTATGTCAGTGACCAGTGGCCAGCGTCACAACCGGGGCTCGCCCTCATCCAGACGGCACAGCGACCCTCGCGACCGGTACGGGCGGGTGCTGGCGGGGGTGGCCGGCAGCGCTGTCACCGCCCATGGCTGGGCGTCGGCCTTTCTCCGAGGCTGGGAGCCGGTTGCTGTTGGTGGGTGGGGGATGGTCACTCCCAGGGGCTGGGAGCTGGGGCGCCGGTCACTGCTTGGCAGCTGGAGTGCAGTCATCCTCACACTGCCGGTCACTGGTCGCCGGTCATTCCGGAATGCTGACGACTTGGAGACGGTCACTGGCCACTGCTGAGTGCTGATGACTTGGACAACGGACATGACCGCTAACGGGTGACTGAGTACAAGTCACTGCGGGTCACTGGCCGCAGGCTACTGCCGCGTCTGGGAGGGCGGCCGGTCACTGGCGCCGAGTCTGAGCAGTGCCGCCGGTTGCCAATGACGCTGGGGTGACCGGACGCTGCACTCGCGACACGTGCTGACCGGCACGCCCGTATAAACAGCCCGGCCCGAGCACGACGGCTGACACGGGCACGGCGACGGGACGGTGACCTCTGGCCAGCCCGTGCCGCGCCGCATATGGAGCGGATCGGGGCGGGTCGCCGTCGGCGGCTGCGACCTCGACTGCCGCGACAAA